ATCGTAGTATAAAGGTCATTAGCCTTAGTGTTGCTTCTCTTGCACATTTTTATCTCGACATTAATGAATTAGAGAGAATAAAAATATACTAAAAATAAAAGTGGGAACTTTTGATCTTCAGCGGAATCGTTTGAATGTATTTTTATTTTTAGGATATTTAAACTTATAATAATAAACGCAATATCTTAAAATATAATTCTCGTGTCACAATGTTAGTTACCGTACTCCTCCGAAACGACTTGACAGATTTTTATGTCATTTTATATGCATATTCATTAAGTCTGAGACTCGGCTACTATCTATTATTTTTATCCCGCGCGGACAGAATCGCGGAGCTAGTTAAATTACATTTTTGTCCTCCACATCAATATATCTTATGTTATTTCAGTCGTCACTCCCTTTTTAATCATCATGTTTTTTGCTTGTTTCTATGAAATGTCACGGCCACGAACCGTAGCATACTCGGCGCTCACGTTGACCCAAATTAGTTGACAGAAGAGTCAGTTCAAAGAACTTTTATAGTCACTATTTCAGTTGCCAACTTTCGTTCTTCGTATTTAGTAAAATTTTCCTCAAAGATACTTTTGTATTTTATATAATGACACTAATAAACCTAACTAAAGGAAAGAAAAATATCTTTTCAAATTTTTTGTTAAATCCTTAATGATTTTAATGATAATCTTTTTTTAATATTTATTGGATCTAGATGTAAACCCAGAGTCCGTCCGCGTGGAGTAAAAAAAACTTAATTACTAGCCTATGTGTTCCTATAGGCTATATTCTACATCTATACCTAATTTTAACTATATCCATGCAGCCGTTTTGGAGATATACTGTAACATTCATACTTCTAAACGTTCTGATTTTTAATAATAGTAACAAATAAAATTCATTATTAAAAATCTATACTATCAACTACATCCCTAACCGTTTTAAATATTTAATTCCATTCATATGAATTAAGAATGAAAATTAAAAAAAAAAACATTGTTTTCCTTCGACAATAAAAACCGGAAGTAAAAGAAACGGATTCGGTACTAAAATATTTACGCGCTTGAAATTACAGCGCTTTGCGGCGTCGAGTTTGCTTTTAGTATTTTATTGTGACTTCAGATTTGTATTTTGCCTTTTAGTTTACATAAAGTTGTACATAAAGAATAATAAATGGATTTCTTAACTTCCGCGCGAGAACTTTTCTGTTACTTAGTCTCTTAGTGAAGACTATTGATTACTAGCTGTCGCCCGCGACTCCGTCCGCGCGGGATTAAAAATAGATGTTGGCCGATTCTCAGACCTACTCAATATGCTCACAAAATTTCATGAGAATCGGTCAAGCCGTTTCGGAGGAGTATGGGAACGAAAATTGTGACACGAGTATTTTATATATAAGATAAATCTAAGCTAAAGAACAGGCAAACATCATAATATAAAATGTATTATTGTAGTAACGATGACAGACAGACTTTAGCAACTAAATGAGTGTTTTTATATATAATAAGTTTATGATGTCTCACGAAAGTTTGAATAATTTAAATGAGTTCCAGTGCTTCATTACATTCATCAACATTTTCGTCTTAAAACATTTTATGACCACTTTATTTTTAATTGTAATATTACATTTTGATTAGAGTAATTAAGGATTCTCTTTTACGAGGCTTACTTATTAAATTGCTAATTTTAAGATCCTCAATGTCAGCAGGAAACAAGGAGACCGCAACCGCCAACAGCAGTAATTATAATTAAAGCTTAACGGTATTTCATAAAAAGCCTCAAGTCTTATTGTTGCCAGTAATACTAATTTAGTAAAAAATAAAAAATAAATTATGAATTTCAAATGCAATCAAATATTTTTTGTATTCTTAGAGAACAGTGAGAGTAAAGAACCCCGTCTCATAGCGCATTTCTCTTAGTTAATCTACACTAACGATGCATTAACAATATCACGCATACTGCAAGAAGACTAAAATGGCGTTGGTCGGGACATATGATGAGAGAGAAGAATGAAAAATGGTCTAGATAAGGCACAGAGTGGTACCCACGAGAGGGGAAGAGCAACAAAGGAAGACAGGTAAAAAGGTGGGAAGACGACCTCAAAAAAGTTGCCGGTCGTTTATGGATTAGAGAAGCCAGGGATAGACAGAAATGGAAATCTTTAGAGGAGGCCTTTGTCCTAGGACAAGCTGTAGATTAAGGATAGCAGTCGCCGGTTCAAAACTTTTTTTTTGATACTCAATATTATTATACTTACTGTTAATGTATCTAAAAAAAATGAATTTGTAAAACTAATTATCTTCAGCAATAAAGGCTTCATTAGTATTTTTTATAATTCCGCACGGACAGAGTCGCGGGCGACAGCTAGTTATATAATATTTTTGGGTGTGATTGCTGAAATGTAACATGTAGCCTTGAAGGCACATTTTCAGAGTAAAATTCCTGTTGCAACATAATATTGAATGGGATACATGTTTGGCACTTTAGCCAAGCATCAAATATCTCTTTAAGAATTTTCCCTATTTTTGACATGTATTTATTATTTAGTTATTGAGAACTATGGTAGGGGATGCTTCGTTTTTTTTACGTGTTCATCAATAATGATCTATCCATATTTTACACTGCCGAAACATTTGAGTGAGTGAAGGTCACCGAGGGTCCTACTGTGCGAAATAAAGAAACTAGTCGGTGCCGACACCGGACAAATATACGTGAATGTTTTAGCTGTTTATAAATATAAAATTAGTTTAAAAATATTGCTATCTTTGTTTTATCAAAGAGAGAGAATGAGAGAAAAGATAATATTTTTCCTTCGAATAAATTAGCAAATAACTTCAATTACATTAACGGTCTTTCAAATTAAAATATGTGATAAATTTAATTGTCATATATTTTACAGTGCAGTAGTTTGTTTACTTATGAATTACTCAAACAATTACATATTAGCAGATGCAATAAATTTTATCACAGTTCATACAGTAAAGTGAAATAATGTTATTCTACGACGCTTACGTAATTACTCATCGTGGTTAATACTAGCCGTGACTTTGTGAGATCGAAACTCCGTATAAAACATATCGTCATCACAGTCTTTCCATATTGATAAAAAAGAGAAAACAATATGTTTGAAACGATGACTTTGTACTCGGAAACCCACGGTTTGTAAAACATCTTGTTGTTAACACTATTACTGAGTGTTTCAAAAACTAGTCTAGTCATTTAGACTAAAAGAAGTCACATTACATAAGGGAATGTCCGAAAAAATTAATTAAAACCATGGTTATCAATTGTACTTTACGTAGCAGTAAGCTCCTTACGTTTCGAATCATAAAAATACTAGCTGTCACCCGCGACTTCGTCCGCGCGGGATTTTAAAATAGATAGTAGCCGATTTTCCGACCTACTCTATATGCTCACAAAATTTCATGAGAATCGATCAAGCCGTTTCGGAGGAGTATGGGAACGAAAATTGTGACACGAGAATTTTATATATAAGATTAATAACATCACAACAAATAAAAAAAAAACTAAATCGTTTAAAAACGATTCGTTTCATTGTTTAAAAACAGAAGTCCTGTGTTTTTGTTTCATAAAAAGTTCAATGTTCATTGCATTACAGCGTGTTGTTATGTGCCAACGACATTGACATTGTTGACAATAATTTTCCATATTACTGAGAAAAACATAAAACTTTTAATATCAGTAAATTTATTCAAAGACACGATCTGAAAATAAAATCTTCTATTCATCTATAGTTTGAATAATTCTTAATTATAATTTGGCATAACATAAAAGTAAATAAACTTTAATTATAAATTGTTTCAAAAACAATAATTATTTTAATATTAGTAAAATCAGATAACGTATAGTACTTAAGTCATTTTAGTAAGCTTCATACATATACAATTATGTTTAATACTACTAAATACATAATACTGCAATTCTAAAAGCTAAGGTTCAAAGTCATAATATACAAGTAATATTTCAAATAACCAAACTTCTAAACTGACCTCTACGTAAATCAAAGGACACACGTTACCATTTTAATATATTTTATAGCAATCTTTACTTTGATAGTGTCCGTAAAAGCAATACAATGAAGGTAAAAAGGGAAAGCTATAAAAAACGTAGACGAGCACTTACTTCAATACGATCTAAATAAGTATTTGACACATACATAAATAAAACATCGTCTGACTCAATAATGCAGTATGTACTAATATTATAAATTCGAATGTTTGGATGGATGGATGTCTGTTATAAGGTATCTCCGGAACGTCTCTATTGTACTTGATTAAATTTGGCATAGATGTAGAACACTGTCTTACGAACACATAGGCTACATATTAATTTTTATTTTAATTCCGCACGAACAGAGTCGCGGTCGACAGCTAGTATCGAATAAATTCGATATGGTTCAATCGAATAAGCTTCCAATTTATTAACGACCTGTTTACAATCATAAAACGTAAGCAAACTGTCGCGAATTTATCGCTTTTATTGACTCTAAACGTCGCATCGTACCAAATAAAGAACCTTCCACAACATATATTAGCGAATTTCATACATATTACGTAAATTTTGTTTGTTTTTGACAACTAGAACGGGTAAAGGATATATGATAACAGCTCTTTTGTGATACCAGTCTTTTACATCGTCATTAATCCCCGGTAAAATATTTTGTTAACGCCAAAACGACATATACAACGCCCTAAGAGCGACAAAATATAAAAATACAAAACAATCTTTAACTTTTTAAAGATGAACGAAATTTAAATTCAAATAAAAGTCCCATCTTCGTATATGGTCTTATCTTATATTTGACGACAAGTGGCTTTAATATGACAGAACTTACTTTGACTAAAACAAACAGAAGTTAAATAAACTCATTTATCTACTATCCGATAATAACCACGCCTCGTATTTAAATAGACGGTTACACTCTCAATGACTTTTATAGGTGTACAAATAATCAAATAAATGAATGTAGTAATTTCAATTTGTTGCAGTATGCATGAAGAAGATTTGAAGACAGAAAGAGTAGAGTTCCTTGGACGATACGCAAATACTCCCACAGACTGCCGATGTTTGTTCTGGATGTCTTATCACTTGATAAGTTAGAACACAAGCCTCGCGCAAACAACCTTATCATGGTAACATTCTTACTGGAGACACAAAACTACTCCATAGAATCCATTGCAATCAGGCGTGACGCACGGAATACCTGAATTAATTTTAAGCAGCCATCTCTAAACGTAGTCATGGAGGAAATTTTGTTAGTGCATAACATTAATTAGTTATATTTATCAGTGCAAGTGTATATATGCCAAAGAACACACCAAATTTACATCTCAAACTAGTCAGATAATATCATCAAACTGGAGGACTTACAAACATTGGAAGGCGCAGAGACTGTGGTCGAGAATGCGAGCGTTAGGGCACAAGAATGCCTGGAGCAGAACCTCAACCTCTCGGAAAACTTCTGCCCGGCGTACTACGATGGACTCCTTTGCTGGGACCCCACGCCATGGTATACATTGGCCGTGCAAAAGTGTTTTAGTGAATTTCACGGCGTCCAATATGATGATACGCGTAAGTAAATATTATTGTATAGATAAATCGAAACAAGGTGGTTTAGAGGTCTTTTAAATGTGACATATACCTAAAGTCAATCAAATAATGTCCTATACTAATAATAAAAAAAAAATCTTTTTCGTTTCACATATTAAAATGAGGTAACAAGTCAATAAACGGTCAACTCCTGATGTAAATGTCATAGCAAGTTTTTTAATAATTCATTTCAGATGTTTTCTTGTAGTCTATTTTCACAAACATATTAACAGGTCCGTAGATCAAATGTTGTTAGAAAACTCGTCTGTTACGTAAGACATAAATCGTATTAATCAAAGTAGATTTTATAATCTACCTATAAATACAGGATGTAATTTTTTGACAGTATTCGTCGCCTTGTGGTTACCAAATTAATAAAAATTTGATTAGAAAATATTGATTAAGATTCGTCAGTACCTATCTTTTTTATAATTTCCATTATAAAGAAATAAGATTTGAACATTCTTCAACCTACAAGAGTAAAGAGACTTCAGCGGTAGTTTTTAATTTTAAGACTTTGTTTTTCCACTCAGCAAAGTTTTGTTTTCATAATAATGAATAATTTATCACTGTCACCGCAATCAACTGTTTTTTTTGCCGCAAAAACTTTTTTGTTTGGGTTTTATTTTTTGATTCGTATTTTATGGCAACTGTGTTCAAAACAAGTCAACGGCTTTTGTTATGAATTATTTCGAGTCAGTGGGCAGGCAACCTTCAAAACAAAGTTGTAATAAACTTAAGTGAGGGCTTTTCTTCGTTTTATGATAAAATTATACGGTTTATAGCCGCGCTAATCCGCGCTTTAAACATTATAAATTGAGAGAATTTTTAAAACGTCAAATAAAATTAAAAAACAGCGAAGTAGCTTAAAAAAAACCAATGAAAACCACAATTAGCATGATATTCAAACAAATAAATTATACATTTACCAACAGTTTATTAGAGCATAGCGAGATGATTATTTCAAAACAGGACTCACACTCAGGTTTCAGTATTAGACTCTTATTCCACTAAAGCCGAACGTCACAGCTGCGCCCATATAAATGCTTTCAGTAACAGCTTAATGGAAAAAGGGTGTTAGTATAATCCTTGCTTATTGATTTGATATTCACAGAGAATGCGTCTCGCCTCTGCCTGGACGGGATGTGGCATAACTACTCGGACTATGTCAACTGTACGGAACGCATCGCCAACGTATCCCCCACAGATGTCGCTAGCCTCATCTACCTCGCCGGCTACTCCCTCAGCTTAGCCGTACTATCGCTTGCCGTCTTTGTATTTCTCTATTTTAAGTGAGTAAACACTACTATTATTATTATAAATATAGCTTTAGCGTTACTTAAATAGATATTAACGAGAGACGCTTTAAAATTTGTAAAATACGTTTCGTAGTTGACAGCCCACATATTTGTGAAGACTAATAAGTAATCCAGTTGCTTTTAATAATTAATTTAACAATGAAGAAAGCTAGTTTTAAAATAAATAAATACTTCACCATGATCCAAAGCACCAGTTCACTAAAGTACGTGGGTTTCTAATCAAACTAATGTAAGTAGCGTTACGTTGGGTTAGTCCAAAGACTACGTACTAGTCTTAACCAAAATAAGTTGACACTTCTCTTTTATGACTATTATATTATAATAAAATGAAAATTCTAACGCTTGAAATTCGTTTCATGCCTTTGTAAGGAAAATAAACGATTCAAAACCGCGGTGCAAAGGCGAGAATAATGAAAGTATGAAGCCATGTTTCAAAACATCCAAACGTATAGTTCTTTGACTGCTATGTATTTAGTTGTTTGATGTCTCTCTTAATTAGTAGATAATAAAGTTTATGACTATAAAGTAATAAAATAGTAATTCATAATTTGTACTACAGAGTGTTCTTTATTTCAGGGATTTAAGATGTCTTAGAAATACTATACATACAAATCTTATGTCTACATATATATTATCAGCGTGCAGTTGGATGTTAAATTTAGCTTTACAGGTAAGTGATATAGTATGTATCTACAATATTAACATATAAATTCACAATACTTGCACAAACAGTGCAAAAATATCATCACCAAAAAAAACGAAAGTATATGTTTGATAAAGGAAAAGAATGCCAATAAAAAGCATTAGCGTAATTCTACTAATTAAAGTCACAAAGTGCGAATACATCTTACTAATATTATAAATGCGAATGTTTGGATGGATGTTCGAGACATCTCCAGAACGGCTGCATGGATCTCGCTAAAATTTGGTATAGATGTAGAACATAGTCTCTAAGAACACATGGGCTTCTAATCAAGTTCTTTTAATTAGTTTAGTTCTTGCGGACGGAGTCGCAGACGACAGCTAGTATCTAATATATTTGAGTCTCATAATGTTTTCCGACTTTATATTAAAAGCCAAAGTAGATCTGGTTGATATGTTAATTCAAAAAGTTTGTTAGTCATTTACATTGAAAAGGGAAATTTACATTTAATGCAGGAACTTTGAAATACAATAGAAAGGGAAAAGTCAAATCTTAATTTGGAATGTTAGTCATAAATTATTTCTTACAATTATTAACAAAATCATATATTGTCAGAGAAAAATTAACACAACAAAAGTACATAGGGAGGAAAAAAATAAGTTTTAATTTTAGTAATATTTTACAATTCAAAATGTTTACTATTCTATATAATCTACCAAAAAAACCTCACGTACACTTTATATTATCGGGAAGGGATAATACATTCGAAGAAAATAGATTATTTCTAACCCATGTTGTCACATGTGCTCACAACGGCCTAAACAAAAAACTGTATAGTTTGTAAAAAAAAAGACACTTCATATCTTCCTAATATAAATGGGAATGTTGGAATGTATGGTTCGATGAATGTAGAAGGTATCTCCAGAACAACCACATAGATCTTGCTGAAATACGCAAACGATATGGAACATAGTTATGTAATAATTTGTATATTTCTTGTAGAATTGGTCGGATGAAGCTCAACAAGATCAAACCTCGTGTATGATACTAGTTATTTGCATGCATTATTTCTACCTCACTAATTTCTTCTGGATGCTTGTAGAAGGTAAATTTTTAATTATATACTTTTAATAATTAACTTCATTTTTTTGTATTACAAAAAATTAATAGTGCCTCATAAATAGAAAAAGGTAATTGAAAGCGTTCTTTTTTCAAAAATATTTTTTTTTAGAAAAGAACGCGTTTTCTTTTTAATTTCTAATTGTTATACGTACTCCTTACATATTTTAGTTTCGGGATTTTTTTTTTTAAATTTAAAGATATATATTTGAAATATATTTTAATGCTAAACTTTACGATTTCAGGACTGTACCTATACATGTTAGTTGTTGAAACATTTACAGCTGAAAATATCAAACTTAAAGTTTACACTACTATAGGTTGGGGTGAGTTAACTATTCAAAAACTTTTCTTTACTTTATTTTTAGTCTAACAACAGCACATACTTGAGTCAAGGACAATCATATGACCTAGAAACTGTAACCGTATAACTTTGTTTTAAAAAAGCGATAAAAGAAATTATCACAATACAGTTTGTCTGCAAAGAAAGATTATTTGAAGGACACTAAAGTCGGTCAAGTCGTATTAACAGCACGTGTCAGAATACACAATGCAATGCGCTTTTTGTATTTAAGTAGTTTGTGGTTAGCTTATAAAAATGCGTAATGTATGCTGTACATCATTTTACAGTCGTAAAACATAATGTTATTGGTTTTTAAAACAAGTGAAAAATGCAAATGTACATTCATAAATGGAAAAACCTTTTATTGATATTATTATTCTATGGAGTTTTATGAAAGGAAAAATAACTAGTTTAGTTTTATGAATATTTAATAATTTAAAATGTAAATATTCTCGAATATAACTAATGTTTTGTTGTATGGACTTATTCAATGATGCTCAAGCTAACACAATCATTATTTTGTTAATAATCGATAAACATTTTAGTTAAATTAATTTGCTTATTATTTTTTAGGTGCACCCGCGATATTCATCATAATATGGGTTATTTCACGGTGCTTCGTAACTGTGGTCCCTTCCACCGGTCCTGACGAGGTGAGCATTGAAATCTGCCTCTTAAATTTTTTAACACATTACTTAACGATTAAATACTGGGTTAACCCAAACTATTGATTTTTTAAACTATGTCGCTAAATCTTACTATTCACGTTTGTCGTTTTTCTAATGACTTGTTACTTTATAAATTATAATTTTAATATTTGTTAATTTGTTCACAGTTAACTATCGCCAGCGATACAAAAATGTGTCTTTGGATCCACGAACACCAAGTCGACTGGATTCACAAAGCACCAGCTTTAATTGGCTTGGCGTTAAACCTGTTCTTTCTTATAAGGATCATGTGGGTGAGTACAAATATATTATCCTTACTATAACGTACGTTTTATTTCATAAATTATGAACATTTGTATCATGGTCATGACCTTGACTCTACGCAAATCCAAAAGGAAATTGTACAAATTAACATGAATAACCACATTAAAATTTCTATTAATTTATTACGTAGTTAATTGTCTATTTAATCAATAGGTTTTAATAACAAAATTGCGATCGGCGAATACATTGGAAACGGAGCAATACAGGAAGGCGACCAAAGCTCTGTTGGTCCTGATCCCACTACTGGGCATCACTAACTTGCTTGTGTTGTGCGGACCTAATGATGACTCCTGGTTCGCGCATGCATTTGACTACACTCGAGCACTGATGCTATCAACTCAGGTAAGAAAAAGCCTAAAATATTGAAAACTACACACTATTCTTGTCTGTAATCTATCTGTACCCTGAATTTCATTCAGATCAGGTTAGAAGTTTTAGAGTTAACTGTTAACAAACATTATACATCTATGCAAACGTTTTAATTATGGTAACAAGATTCCCAATCATATGTCAATGGTAGATTTATCAAGCAGTCATGTCTTGTGTACTTGTGCTATTCTTTTTTAAGAAATAGAACTACGTTGTGTTCAAGTAAATTGGTAACAGAAAGCTTACAAGCGTCTCTAAGATCAATATAATAATTTGTAGTCTACACACATAACAAATAAGAACACATCTCAGAAGTTAATAACCGCCGTAGGCTAATCATACAACAAAGGGAACATCTTGAAATTTCGAATACGAATAACAGATAGTAAAGCATAATACTTCTTCAAACAGAAACTACCCTCCTGTTATTTTATGATAACACAGCAGCAATTGCTGCCACTCACAAATTCTTAAGTGGTCTCTTTAGTGTAGTTTTAGTACGAGAAATATATACTAAAGGACTCCCCTAGCGAAAACGAATGATTCTCAATAAAAAGATCTGAGTAAAAGAAAATGTCTTATACTACGAGTTCCTAGTAAATTTGTTAAGTTTTTTGACCACTAACCGTATGAATGTGACAATGAACTTTAATATCTGTTCTTAGGGTTTTACGGTAGCTCTATTCTACTGCTTCATGAACACGGAGGTGCGGCATGCGATCAGATACCACGTGGAACGGTGGAAGACTGGCCGTACCATCGGCGGCGGCAGGCGGCGAGGCGCCTCTTATTCTAAAGACTGGTCACCACGCTCCAGAACAGAGAGTATAAGGTATACTGACCATTTCAATCTTATGGTGGTTCAAGGTCAGCTTGCGCTTATACCTTCCATGGTATTTTACGCCCTTCTACACTCTAATTTGCGTTTTACGTAGCGATATGTTGCCCCAAGCCGCTAAGATATTTGAAAATCACAATACCAGTTATTTTCTACCGTCGTAACAACTGAATTATAATGTGGCCATCTCCATCATTCTGTTATAAAAAATAGTGATGATAAGTATCAAGTAACTTTATTTTTTTATTAAATAGTATTAAATACATAAATACAGATGTTACGGCACTTGAAATTTATATTATAGTAATATAGACATGCCACAGAGCGATAGGAAATTTCCTGAAAATGATGTAGATCCCTTTTTGCTAATACATTTATATTCTGAGAAATACAAACGAAATTTACAATCCATTGATAAAGTATATAAACTAGAATATTTATTAGTTGATTAAGAATTAGATTACATTTATAATTATGTGTTTGGTTAAATTTTTAACATCATTTCATATACCCCTGCTTATATAAAAATTAATCTGCATGCATCATTTTTCTTGCATGTTAATTACCTTAATAACGGGTTTTCGTGATTAAATCTTTATTATTGTAACTAAGATTGTTGCACAAAAAAACATTTCTTAATATTTCGTGACTAGTATAAAACCATGAAAGAAATTAATTAAACTTTTACATCGCATAGGTCATATCAAAGGTTAAACAACTTGAAAAATGTACTTATGAAAAATAAATAAAAAAGAAACCAATTTAATGTAAAATTAAATAGAAATAATCCTTATGTGTGCATTATAGCAAAAATATAAAGTAAATTATGTTATGCACAACTTAACTTCACCATTTGGCAACTTTCGTAAATTCCGATGGCCGCTTAATAGTTGCCGCCTTATAATATATAAAAAAAATCCTACTTTAAATATCAGTTAGCTGATATACATATATTTTTTAATATTACCAGATTTACTATTTGATTTCTCTTTTAACAATTTACTAGGCTTTAGGCTTGTTAAATCAAATGGCGAGAATCGAAGCTACTATTCCGCTATCGTATGTTCTTCTCTTAACTATGACTAAGCTCTGCTCTATTGGCGATTTAAAAATATACATATTTTGATTATATTTTTATTTCTGTTAGGCTCACTGTTTGAAGAATTATGAAGACAAACGGATATCGCGCTTCAAAGAGTTACATGAAGAGATAATAAAACACATGGATTTAATATGGATATGGACGAAAAATTATTTTATATTTTGTTACAATATTCTTTTGAATAAATCGATGTTTTATCCGCTTTTTTTGTTATTTTTTTAAATATCATATGTTTCGTTAACATTACTATTTAATGTTCTCATCATTAATAGCGTTGTTGCACGATTTTCATTAGTAATGTAATATAGTATGCATGTAGCTTTGCTAACAAATAACAAAAAAAAGAATATTTTTGTTTTTATCAGGTAATTAATTTAATATGCATGATGTTAAAGTATTAGAAAATATAATAAAGGGTAAATATTGCTTTTTATTTATCATTGTTTGCTTCGATGTTTTGTGTAAAATAAATTTATACGAAAAATAAATGAACCACGATATCTCGCACAATTTAAACTCACTAAAAGCTAGGTCCATTAAACTTGTTTATAAGAAAATTGTATTAATTGATATTAAAAGTTTTATAACTTATTGATTTTAGTTATAAAATTAAATTACCTAGACATTGAGATAAAAATTAATATCAAATTAGTTTTACAAACTTTTAAGAACTTAATTAAGAAAAAACATTAAAACTTATTTTTGTAATTCAACCAAGGCCAGCAAAATATGTGACACTGTATACAATTAGCTTCTACATTCCTAGCAAAATAGATGTTGACGTTAAGTCATGGGACAGGTTGTACAGCCATCCTTCGAAGAGGGAGTCTGCAGCGTCAGAGACAACAACAACGACTCTACTGGTACCTAGGACGTCATTAGCACCGCACATCGACGGCAGACATCTGCACGCTGTAAGTACTAAAAAAGTACGTACTACGGAAAACAATATTACACACTCTCGCTTAAAGAGTTAAGATTTGTTAGACTTGCCGTAGCGCCCACGACAACCACGCGTATTACACCCGTCAACGACAGGCAAATGCTACGTAGTACTTACCTTCTGCGTTCACTCCAGTACGATATGTCCCTATAGTTCTTAGAAGGATCGCTAAATAAACTTCTTTTGATTACACACCACTGGTCTAAAAAACTCAAAGTCACTTACACTTCGTCTGTAAGCGGCCTATAGTCCGTAATAGACCTTTTTGTAGTATGTGCAGATTTTTATCATTATTCCGATTGTTAAATAAAAAATCGTTCACTGTACATTTTCTGTTCGCTGGGTACGCATTTTCAAGTTATAGGTTCCCAATACGGTAATGGAGGTGGAACCATTAAAAACGATTTGGACCTTTTCCTAATGTTGACGGGCCTTCGTCCTTGATGGACGGAATTGAAAATACTTGCGGCTATCCTTTGCTCGGAGATAAAATTGTTGAAGAAAAAAGAAGATTATTCACCCGTTAACTTTTTTTAATTCTGAAATGTCATTGTTGATTTAAAGCGATTGACTTTATGTTAATGAGTCAGAGATCAAATTTTATACAGCATGCTCAAGGTCATAAGATCTTAAATTAAAACGTAATAATTCTACTACTAAGATAAAAATTAATAGTGACTGTTTTAAAGTATACCATAATAATTTCATTACGTATATACCTTATTGCTATTGAAAGAACGAAGACATTTTGCTACGTATAAACAACTAAATAAAGCATCGCTAGAGTTAAAATATACCAGCACCTGAACGCAAATAAAAGTTGGTAATTAATTCTCACATCTGATAAAATAATTGGCCACTTGAACTCTCTGTTTCTGTAATTAAAACTATTCATATTTCATACATAGTTATTTTTTACATTTCATAATAAAAAGGGCAACCAGGGTTCCGATCATGATTGATAGTAAAATTGAAACATTTAAAAAATACTTACACTTACTTGATTTAAACAAATCCCGAGGAAGCAGACGAGTCTGAAATGAACAAGGAAAAGTAATTAATTTACTACAAAAGTTCAAATCAATAGAAGAATCAATACAGTTTGACTGCAAAAAGACAATAATAAGAAGTATAATGCTTGGACATAGTCTGGCGACTTGGTAATGAGAAAGCACAGAAAGAAAGAGAAAAGTAAACTAATATACAATAATTTCAAGCCATTACTTTTGTATGTAGTGTTAGGTTTGCCTTCAGGAGTACATAACAAGCGGGAGCGCGAGCGGCGACCAGTCACCGGTGTGAGGTGCGGGGCGGGGGAGGCTGCACCGCCTGCGCACATTGCCCGAGGAGGATGACCCCCTCGGCCCACCATCTACCGCCTCCCCTGCAGCCCTCACATCCCCCACAATCTCCTCCAACAACCGACCCACAGACTTAAACTTTACAACGCTAGATATGTTTAATACTTTAAATTAATCGCCGATGCGATGTGGTGTAAGTATTTGCGCATGCGCACTTTCTAAGCCGCCATCTTTTGTTTCCACTAACCAAATAACTGATACAGATTGTATAGTTTACAGTACCAGTAACAGTCGTGAAATATGACAACATATTATTATATGTTTCGGCAGTGAAAGCCGGCTCTTATTCAACTGTAATTCATCAGTAATTGGAACTAGGTACTAATGCGATTCAGGAACAAAGGTTAATCTATGTTATTTTATACGAATATTATTATGTCATGACTAAGTATGTTTAAGATATTGTAAGTAGCGATATGAATTACAAAACGAAATGCATTTAAGCGTAAGATATTATACTTTGAAGATGTTTGTATATACGCAATTGATTAATTCAACTTTAATTATTTCCTGCATGTAACTCAATAAATTGAAAATATATTCAAACTGCAGTTACTAAAATCTTATTAGATTGCAAATAAACCGTCTGTATAGTGGCCTTTCTAGTTCCTTGAATCTTCTTAAATATTGCTATAATTTGAACATGTCTAGACCATATAAACAGTGAAACCCTACGTGATGATGGTGGGATAAAATTGAAAGCTCACATAGAAATATATCATCAGAGGGTTCACCGAAAGAAAATTTTAAACAGCGTCTATGACAAAGAAAAGTTTGTGAATCTCTGATCTAAAACCACTTTCTTAAAGTTGATTCTACAACTAGACATAGACGTGCGTAAACTCAAAACCGGATCAATCGTTCAGATCACATAGACTTGAACCATTGAGCTAGAACTCAACAACTAAATTGACAGCTCACGGTTCATCTGGATGTTGTAATTTTTTGAGACGAAAAGACGCGAGTTGCCTGATGACTCGCAGTTCGGGGCTCGAAATGCAAATCATATCTCTATACAGGTACATTTGTACTGAGATGCGAGCTGATTCACTGCTTCACACATGTAAACCATGAACTGATCTACAAGTCATCAATTTTATTTGAGTTACCCATGACTAACTAGACAAATAAGTTCCCTCAGCCTCGGTATACATTGAATCATTCTAGCTTCCGAAAATGTGAATTGAATGTACAATTTTTTCATAAAAGACTTTTATATAAACATATATGATAAATAAGGTTTTTACATATTAAATGGCTTGTTGCATTTGTAAATATTATTTGTTAGTACAGTCGCGAGAGTAAATTAAGTGATATTTGTTAAAAAAATGTAGTTGTAATTTGATGAATATTTATCGTATTGCTTAAATTATTTTATATGCTTTTTACTTCTATAACAGTTTAATACACATAGTATAGTTAACCTTTAGGTCTTTCAAAAGCTTTATTACATCTATTCAAGAACTCTTATTGTGATTTTTAATTTATATTTCTTATTTGATTCTCTTCTTTTCTTTTGCAATTAACTATTGTAAATACAAAGTTACATATTAACGGGTGTAAAATGTATACTATTCGTACACAATAACATGACATTTAAGTCCGATGACGTCAAAGCTGTACGAAAAACGTACAGTTAAGAACGTTCATTTGTTACCTATTTAGGTGAATTGTCACTTAACTTCCTTCGAATTTTAATAGAATATTCAAAATAAAAGATTTTTTACGAAACTTTATAAATTATTTATAACAAAAAATTACAATGGAATAGTATTATTTTTTAAAATTTAACGAATGAAGTATAAAAAAATTGGCAGTTGACAGATTTCAGTCCACCCTTGAGGCTAGCTCCAACTACATATAGCTTTAAGTTTTTATCCCTTTTAGGTAGAAAACTAGCCATAACAGTATGTATATTTACTAAGTTAACTAGTATCAGTTAATAGTACCATATTCAGTTCTAAGGGGAAGTCGAATTTAATTCTTTAACTATACGTGAATATTTATATCATGCTGTAATAAGCTAATCATCTGTGAAGAGAAAAAAACGTGACATAACTTCCATAGATGTTCGATGTACAGAATAGGGGAGCGGTAAGACGAGGGGGCGGTGACATCGAATTCCACAAGCATCTCTTGTTATTGTGTACGTGTTGTTAATGTAAATTTTGTACCGTTGATTCCTACTTATGCCAAATATATAATATATTAATAGATGTAATAATGTAGTAATCAGAAAATAAATTGGGAAACAATGCGCTGTATGTAACATAAAGTTTAGCATATCGTAAAGTTTTAAAATTAATTATATATCCTACTTAAAAGTTTGTTTCAAACAAATAATATACTATAATTTATATAATGTATTTATATTAAATAAAAAATAAATGTGAAGGAGTTAAGATTAAGATAAATTGATTGATTATAATAACATAACTGAATCGAAACTAGGTTTAAATTAAGATTTGTAAAAACATTTTTCTTCGATATTCATTTAAAGAAACAGATCCACAATTTTAAAAAATCATGGCTACTACGTGTAATTTGTGGACATTGTTTGATATGTAATTAAATTATTTCTAATAATGTACTTGGTTATATACAAATTTACTTTATGTCAAGATTGTTTTTTAAATAGATAAGTAAATACCACATACCTATACTTTGTTTTGTATATGACTGATTAATACAAAAATTCAAATATTTCTATGTAACTTTGTTTTTTGCTTTAAAATTTATTGATTTTTATTATTTTTAAGATTTATAATTAATAATGCGGGTAAATGTTATTTATAAATTAATTATTAATTAAACCATTGATTATTAATAATTCTATTGTTTATTGTGATAAGATAAATGTATCTAGCTGCTCGTAAATGTACGTAACCACAAATCTTTTATCAAATGAATGTAAATGAATGTTTATATCTTTAATAAAATATCCAGAAAAATATATTTTTATTTTTATATTGTCATCCCTATCATTCTCCTGGAAAAAACTGAAATAACAAAAGTTTTTTATTCTTGTGCAATGCAAACGCGAAACTAAACAAGCACTCAGTTGACATTACTTAAGTCTGAAGCTAAGTCCATGTACAGTCAGCTGCATAAATATGTATACCTTTACCAGGCTTCAGAAACTTTTATGCACTTTAAGTTTTAAAAATGTATACATATATAAAAATGTGCACGAAATGGTCTCTATTCTTCCGCCCATGAGTAAATGATCTTGACGAATACGTATTTTTGAAATCGACGGCCAATAAAAGTGTCAAAACTTTTTAAATGTATACAAATATATGCAGCTGACTGTACAGAATTAAATCGAAACAGAGTTACTACTTTTTCCATTAAACCAACAATAACGTATTAATTTTCCCTTATATTCCATTGAAATTTATGGCACGAAGTGAGCATAAATTAAAATGCCTCGTCACGTTTATTGGTGTTTTGTATTAAAGAAGTGACGTCATCGCCAATATTCGACAGTCAAATGTTGAATCAATCATCTATTAATGTCATAAACATGTCTGCATTTAGAATTTATTTTGGGAGATTAATCTCTCTTCATATTACTTGGCAGTTTTACTCTACTCATTTAAGTCTATAAGTATTATGCCTTTGAGTATATATATTAATATTATACTAACAATATGCAATTAATAATATTTGTACTAGGACATAATTCCGAAGATAATTGAAAAATTAAATACCAAATTTTCACCTTTACCACACATAAAATTAGCTACCGGAAGAATGTTAATCTTACTTATTTTGTTGTTATTTTATAAATTCGAAAGTTTACATGGATGAAAAAAAGGTGTCTCCTAAACAGCTGAACGGATCTCGATGAATTTGACGTACATAATCTGGAAGCACACGACGCCACTAATTAGTTTTTTTTTAATTCCACGCGGACGGAATCGCGTGCGACTAGTACCTAAATAAAGCAGAATTTCCACTAATTGCTATAAAAGAGACTAGTTTAATATCTATAGAGAAATGTAGTTGGAAGATGTTTCCATTTTAGATATAAGGATTATATTATCATTTCATCTCAATACGTAGCGCTTAATATCTAAAAGAGCTTACAGAAGCTCATGCTTCTAATTTGTAGGATTAAACGGTAACGGTAAATCTAAATATCGTATAATTTACCAGCCAATATTAGCATAACTATAATTGAGATTACGTAACGTATAAAATTCAGTTAGTAGACATAACTAACTGTGGATTTCTGATATCAAAATCTCTGTATAAAACATATCGTCATCCCTGTAATTATCTTTGACAATACAGAGATAACAATATATATTATATAAACAAATATTTCGGATAAACAAATATTTCGGACTCAGAAAGCCACGGTAAGTGCATTCGTTCAATAATCCTAGATTTTTATTGTTTTCCTATTGGTTTCCTTATCTAAGTATTTTAAATAGATTTTTCATAATAATTGCATTTATAATATTATTAACTTGACTATTAAGATATTATTTAACTGTTATTTTCGTCGTAATTGTAGTTAAATATTAAAGTAAAAAATGTTCACATAATGTGTTTCAAATGAATAAAACTATATTAACCATCAAAAACTTCTGATTCATATGTCCTTTGTTTGATAGTAAACAATTTTATGGACCTCAATTTTGTACTTGAAACTATTACACCAAATATTCTCAAAGCGAAAAACTTTCTAGAAACTTATATCGAGGTTGTAGCAAACGTAACTTCAATATGTAGCCTAAAATATTTCTTGTCTTACTAAAAAAATTAGTATTTCAAATAGATTTTAGATTTAATATATATCAACCTTTTTATACCGTGACCACTATATATATATATACTTTTAATTATTGTGCGTTAGTTCGTGCGTTGCGTTCAGATAAATTCTTAAAAAAAAACTACAAAGTATTTTACAGTAACTTAAATTATTTAATATAATACCAACTATCGCCTACGACTCGGTCCGCATGGCGTTAAAAAATAACTCAATAAGTAGCCTATGTGTTCTTCCAGGCTATGCTCTATGTCTATGCTAAATTTCAGTGAGATCTGTTGAGCCGTTCCGAAGATACCTTCAAACAAACATTCATCCATCCATCTAAACATTCGCATTAATAATATTAGTAAGATAGTATGATGAAATTTTTATGTCTTTATCTAATTAATATAAATAACATATTAGAAACAAACAAATCGAATAGTTTAAAACATAAAATACTTTACTTCTCCTAATTATAATAGCATAATATTTTCTTTGACTTTACAATATAGATCGTGTTCAAGATTTATGCGACCACAATACTAATGAAACGGGAAGCCCCATTGTAAGTGATTCCGCGAGTTAATCCACTTATAGATTAAATTATTAATTGGCAGCGAAGATATCTATAGTAAATGCAGGTGGTTATTATAGATAGGAAGCTTAACAATAAATAGATATACCAAATAGCTCAAACGCAATACTGATTGCTACTATACTAGTAATGTTCATTCTAAAAGAATTAACGTGGGTTTTTAAACCAAAATCCTCTCTTGAAACATCTCTGTTTTGTAAAAGATTATGACAGGGATGACGATATGTTTGAAACAGAGATTTTGGTCTCAGAAAACAACGGTTAATCTATTAAAACATTCCTTACCAACGTCGTAATAATTGTCAGAATAATAATGTTTCAAGCACAAATACACTTATAACAAAAATGTTTTTTTTTTATATATGAGAAGACACATACGAACGGTGTGACCACCGAGGTGATCAACGATACCTATTGCCATCCACAACACAAGAGGAAGTGCAGATGCGTGCTGGCCTTTAAGGAAATGGTATGCTCGCTTCTTGAACGACCTTTTACTATATATATTGTAACTACGTAAACATTTTAGTGTCTTCCTTAGATCGTAGGTAAATTTCTTAGAAGGCATGTTTCAAACATTTTCACCGCACCGCGCCCACTTACTTTGTTAAAACCAGTGCCGACTGCACCTCACAGCCGTCGTATAAATCAATAAGCTATTCCATTACCTATTGTCGGCTCTCTCCGTAAATAGGAAAACTTTTGTAGCACTTTTTTTTGTTGTCGAAACTTTACAAATTGTAGGCGATTTTTCACCTAATCAATTTTGTTTTTAAAACTCCTATACTGTGGTGAGAAATGGAAATTTGCAACGTCAGGTGTTCAGCTCGACGTATTTTCAGATGGTAAAAATCTGGGAATGTTCTTTTTCACGAATATCGATTTACTGAACCTGGCATCTACATCAATCTAATAATCGATGTTTAAAATCGAAAACTACTCTAATATCTTTATACTAGCTGTCGCCCGCGACTCCGTCCGTGCAGGATTAAAAATAGATGTTGGCTGATTCTCAGACCTACTCAATATGCTCACAATATTTCAAGAGAATCGGTCAAGCCGTTTCGGAGGAGTATGGGAACGAAAATTGTGACACGAGAATTATATATATATATATATATAACAAAAAACTTTGAAGTTATTATTGTAACTAATAATTGTTGATATTTACACTAAATTAGTTAAATTTGAAGCAAGCGAAGTTTGAATCCGACCTTGTTTTGCCGTAGGGTGAAAGTAAACAAAGGTTATTTATACACGTGCCAGGGAAATAACCTTTTTCCATGAATTTCGGTTCGCATCTACCGTTTTGGTTATAAGTATAAAAACTTTTATATATACATATACT